TTATTTGTCGAGTTTTTATCTGTGGCCTGTTTATTTATTGTGATTTTTGCCGTCCGTGCTCATCAGTCCTCTTTCTTGTCAACAACCACTAGTGTTAAGTATTTATTCCATCTGCTCTCGTCTCTGCTGTCCAGGCTGATGATAAAGAGGACAAAACAGACCTTTTCTCTCTTGTCCTCATTTTTTTCATGCTATTTTTATCCTTTCAGGGTCTGGAGTGGCTCTTATTTCCAATTTTGAGCAGCTGCTGCGCGGTGTGTGGAGGCCCGAGACTAATGAGATCCTCAACATGTCATTGTAAGTGAGAGTGAAAACTTCTACTGTCTTTTTAATTTTAAGCAGTGTATAAATATAGCTTTCACTCACCTCAAACTGCACTTTAAAAAAAGTAATAAGCATTTTTAAATTAGTTTTGTTTCATATTTGCGTTTCATCTACTTCTAAAAAAAACTACTCAACTGTTCCTGTAGCAATAACTTCATGTTTTCTGGTGTCTCGAAATTGTTTCGAAAATAGAAGGGCACTGCGCCGTTACCTAGCAACCCCAGCCCCGTTACCTAGCAACCCCAGCCCCGTTGCCTAGCAACCTAAGCGGAACTCCATAATGATTGGTCAGCTGGTTTACAGCTTCATGCTGCTGGAAAAGGCAAAATGTTTTGATGCTGACTTACTATCCAGAAAATTAGGTTATTATAATTCACTAAAACTAACGAAATATCGAAAACTGATAGAGAAGACATTTTCATAAACTGAAATAAAAACGATAATTAATGGGAAAAAACCACAAATAACTGGATCTATGCTGTGCATTTATAAAACTAAAACATGCTGGAATTATAAATATAACATTCTTCATTGAATGAATTAGTTTATTAGCTTCTCAAACTGATGTGAAATCTTAAGAGTTTTTCCCCAAACACAAGCAGTTTATGTCAAATTATGGCACTCCATAATCCTCCGGGCAGCGCTTATGCTAGTCTTCAAAATGGCAGCCGGGAGAAAACACCAGAGTCAGTCAGTAGTTCAACAGTAACTGAATACTTTTTTTTTCTGGAAATTATGTCTTCTGTTGAGTATTCATTTCCCAATCACTGTATACATAATCACAATACTTCTGAACATAAAACGGAACCAAAGTCTGAAAAAACTAAAACTACTACAACTAATAAAAACTAAATATTCAACTAATAACTTACACAAGCTAGCAAACACTAAATTAACTCAATTAGGAAAACAAAAATTCACAATGAAATAAAAACAGTGGAAAACCGAAAACTATTAAAACCCTGCCAGAAACCAGTTGGTGCATCCTTGTTGGTTGTGCAGGAGGCTCCACTTCTTCTTTTCAAATGTGTACGGTTGTATGATTGTTCAAGGAAGCATAATAATTCACCTTTAAATTTTTGTAGGTTGATGAAACATTTTCTCAGCTTTTCTTTGCTCTCGGCAGCCCGACTAAAGCCAGCTTGTACGGAGCGATTCTGTTCACCCTGCAAGAGTCCCACTGGCTGCCAGTATCCAAGAGCGCCCTCATCCTCGTCTTCACCCTCTTCATGGCCACGACGAAGGTAAAACCCTCACCAGAAACCAGGACATCACATTACGTACGGCCAGAGGCGAGTAGAGTAGCCAAAGATTATTCTCAAGTAAGAGTAGCACTACTTCAACATACTTTTACGAAAGTAAAAGTAAAAAGTAGCCGTCCAAGACAAAAAACACAAACACATTAACTAAACACAAGTCAAAAGTGGAATCATCCAGTCAGGGATGTCTCAGGAATCCACCTCTTCCATTTTGTTAATGCTGTTGTGTTTAGTGAATTGTTGAAATAGTTTGCACTTCAGGGTTACTGTACATACCTGTCAGAGGTGGGCAGAGTACCCAAACATTACAAGTCAGAGCAGCACTGCAACATATTTTTACTAAATTAAAAGTAAAAAGTAGCCATACAAGAAATTACTCAATAAGAGGAAAAACGTATTTGGTAAAAAGTCTATTGAAGTATTGAGTAACTGATCAAATATCAATCATTTAATATTTAAAAATTACATCATCAGACGGACCAAAATATAAAGTTAAGCGGAAATGTTTGTATTTTATGGACCAAAATGACAATAATTCATATAAGTAACCAAAATCAGGCAAAAGAAAATGTTTCCAAATCGGTTTCCATCAATAAAAAACTAAACTTTAACAGAAACTGCAGGTGTGTGTCTGGCGAAGTTTTGGTTAAAACATGTTTGTTTTTCATTCAGTGGGCAGAAAATCCAGAAAATTTACTCAAGTAAGAGCAGAAATACTTCATAATAAAATCACTCAAGTAAAAGTAAAAAGTACAACCAAGTGAAAAAGTATATTTTTAAAAATGTTATTCAAGTAAATGTAACTGGTTGCTACCCAACGTGATTAGATTAATGGTCTGTAACTAAGTAGCAGGTGAACAGATTGACACCAACCTGAAGCGAGAGTTCAGATAAAGCTGAAGTTGTGGGTGTTTTGTCCTCCAGGTGGTGATGACGGCCCGCCACTCTCACGGCTCCCCCTTCAGCCTCGTCGAGTCCTGGACGTGCCACCTGCTGTTCGGCTCTCCTCTGGGCGGCGGCGAGGAGGACAACCATCATCCTCCCGCCGGCGCCGCTCCGTCTTCACCGCTCAAAAGCAAAGAGGAGCTGAGCGAAGGCGCTCGCAAGAGGAAGGTCAAGAAAGCCGAGTAAGACGAGGCTCTGGTGAAACTGCATCGGACTTGATGCCGCCCGACTTCCCCTTCCTTCCATAAGGACAGGAGCAGTTTGATCTCTGCCCGGACGAGACCCTTTTTATTGGAGCAACATGGTGCTTTTTGCATTTTACAAAGCTGGAGGACTGTAAATACCAAGGCAAACGTTTCACACAGCAGCCAAACCTGGACATCTGAAACCCGATCAATTATGAGTCTGGGAGAATCTGCATCCCTGCCCAGCGCTGCTTGGTGACCCAGCGGCGGTTCAGGAGCCACATGGCTACAAGGCCATGGCGCCGCATCCATACTTTTATTCCTTAGAACTGTATGGAGCTAAATTTGGGCCATAAAGTTTATTCAAAAGAATAACAAAACTAACTGAAAAAAGGCTTGAAACAAAAAAATATTTAAACGGAAAAATTATTTGAAACTGGAAAAAAATGAAACAAAAAAAGATATGAAACCAAAATAAAATATTTAAACTGAAAGAAAAAAAAGATTTCAAACTGAAAAAAATGAAACTCAAAAACACTGAATCTGAAAAGTAGTTTTGAACATTTTCTTCAGTTTCACATCCTTCATTTTCAGTTTGAAATCTTTGTTTTCAGTTTCAATTTATTTTCCAATTTCAAATAGTTTTTTCATTTTCATTTATCTTCAGTTTCAAAGTTTTTTTTTTAGTTTCAAAATAATTTCAGTTTCAATAATTTTTCTTTTGAACAAAATTTTACGGCTCCATTTTAGCTCCATAGAATTGGTCAACTTTTGTTATTCAGAAAGAAACAAAAAAGAACAAATTTATTCAACTCTCCATCAGAAATTAAAGGTGTTATGGAGGTTAACATTCTTCCTGTTTTCTGAGACGAAAGCAAATTTCTATGAATAAATGAAATCAAGAGAAATATTGTGTTATGGTGTTTTTTTGTTCGCAAGGGAGAAAACAACTATTACTAATTGATTAATAGTGTCAGTGTAATATTTTGAATTTCCAGCCTGAGGTTTAACTTTTGGAGATTGTCCATCTTTGATTATGGTGCCTCCTTACTGACTCAGTGATTTTTGATAAACACACTGATTGTTCTGCAGTTCAAGAGATTTCTTGAAAACCGTTCATTGAATAAGTGTGCATTCACACCAGCCAGGTTTAGTTCACTTTAATCCAGTTTGTTTGCCTAAAACATTTGGTTCGTTTGGGGAGGTGCGAATGTGTAATCAACCAAAAAAAAAAAAAAACTCTAAAGGTGTTTTCACACCTGATAGTCCGGGAGATTTGGTTCAATTTGGGATCAAAGTTGTAACATTTGTTAAATTGATGTGATTTTCTTGGTCAACCCAACCAAACCAATTGAAAAACCTGTTCTCCTTCTCACCTGTGGGGGCGCTGCACCAAGAGCCACTGAATGAAACGACACAAAAAGACGCTAGCTTTACCCAGAATGCCATGCACTGTTGTAGTTCACTTCCTGCTTTGGAGCTGTCGTTGAGATTTAAACCACACTATGGTTGACTTCAACCAAACCGAGATCGAGGTTTGTAGTTCACTTTAGATTTCGATTAGCGTTCACACCTCCCCAAACAAACCGGACTTTCTGCACAAATGAACTGGAGTTGGATTAAAGTGGACTAAACAAGATTTCCCTTTTCTCTTTCGCCGAAGAGTAAATAGAAATCATCCAACTGCTAAAATCTGACGCCGCTCTCTTTTTGTTTACATTTTGTAAAGAAGGAAGTTGCGCTCAGTGTCTTTAGAGGTGTCTGTGTCCGGCAGCGCCCCCACAGGCCACGAGGGGAACAGGTTGCTTAAAGGGTTTGGTTGGTTTGACTCGGAGCAGAGACAGAACCACAGCAGCTGGAGGCGGATCAGATGATGAAGTTTTGGTCCCAATCAAACCGAGTCTACCAGACTAATGTGTGTGAAAACACCCTTAGATTGAGGAAACTGGTATTATCCCAGTCTGTATTTGGACTGTGGATTTAATACAAAAGGGTAAAATCGGGACAAAAATCAGCATAAAAAAGTCTTTTTGTGCAAACTGGATCTTCTTATTTGTTCACTAATTTAGCTTTTTATCACTGTCTACGAAACTGCAACATTTAAATGTTATTTTTGTCCGTAAAGTTAAATCACGGTCAAACCACGGCGTTGTTACCTTTTGGTTTGTGTGCGTTGTGCAGAATCAGTTTTTTTTCTCTCCATCTCCTGGAGCTTTAGAGGAAGGGCTGGAGGTAAAACTCAGGAACGGAGGATGGGGGCAGAGAGCAGGGGAGGGACATAAAGTCAGGCTAACGGGAGGAGCGCCGAGTCCAGGAAAGGACAGCGAAGGCGAAGCTGCTCCCATCATGCTGCGGTTTGTAGCGCTGACCTGCGTCCTCTGCATGGGAGGAAACCTCGTAACGGGACAGAGGGGTAAACCCATCCTGCTTCATATTTAATATTCAGTTTGCAGTTGTTGCTTATTGTTTTTAGAATATTAGTTATGGTGAATTAAAAGTCAACAAACTTTGACGAAGCTAAATAAAGAAGCTAAATCTACATGTTTAACCTAAAGTGCTGCATTATTATCATCATGTAAACAAACATTTTAATGAAGACATGTGGATATTTCCTGCACGTTTCAAATTCTCTCAATAATTAGTTGTAAATAATTGCTATGAGGCTCCAGAAACAGACAGTGATTTGCTTGCATCTCTTTCTGCTGTGGAATCCAGTCGGCAAACAGAGCCGCTCCTGATGAGAGGAACATGTTTCCTGTTCTTCGCTCTCAGGAGGGTCCAGCTTTCATCCTGATCATCTGCTGGTCAGGAAGGGAAACGCTGAACACGGGATGCAACAACTCACCACACTTCAGCAATACCTGCCTTAGCATTCACCATAACGCAGCGCAATTTGAAAATAAATTAGCTTAATTGAAACACGGCAAGTTTTAAAAAACATTTCTTCATAAATGTTTTTATCTTGCGCTAGGATGAGGATTTTTTTAGGTTTATTTTGCATAACTGCAATGCAAATACTCTTGAATCACACAAGTCATATGATCAGCAACCTGATGTTACTACTGCTGGAGACGATGAAGGAGACGACAGGAAGTGGCAGGAGGATGATGGTGTGACGTGTTTTAATGACTTAATTTGCGGTTTCTTATTTCACAATTGCACTTTTTTTTTTTTTTACTTTAGCAGAATATTGAGGCCAAGAGTCACACCGATATACAGTGTACAAAAAATAACTTATTATATTACACTCAGTGTAACGTAATGACATTGTGTGTAATGTTTATTACACTTAATAATAGTAAATATAAAATATAATTTTTCAATAAAATATCACAAAATCCAATTAAGATTATATAAAATGGGATTTAAACTTTTCAGTTAAACACTTTGTAAGAAGAGTTTTAAATTCGTTTGTGGGAATAAATGGTCGGTTTTAATGTTACTGTTTTCAACTTTTCATCTTCTGTATTTTAATGTTTCGCACATTTATTGTAACTTTTATTTCACTAATCGGTACTGATAACAACTGGGTTATCAATAAAGAAAAATAGGCCTTAGATCTGTTGGCAGTCATAAAAAGTGAAGAAAAACATTTCTGCAAACTGAAACTTGAACTTTAATAAGCTCTTCTTAGCAGGTTAATTTAGAATAAACCTGGACACATGAAAAGCCAGAGTCTTTCTACCACAGTCCATTTGTTGACACTTTTGGACTCCCACTGCTTTTCATTCGTGTATGTGCGGCTTGGCTGGAAAATGCGGCTTCCAGAAAATCTTCTATCGTCTCCATATCTGGAAAATCACTTTTGGAGCCAGAGACAAAACATTTCAGACTTCAGTGGATGAATGAGCTGTTTCAAAAAAAAGATCTGTGGACTTTAAAATCATGTTTTAAGACCGCTACAGATTGTTAGTCCCAGACTAACAAAGTGTCTATTTGAAAAAGAAAAACTGGAAAGTGAACTCAAAGTGTTTTCAATTTAAAAATTCCCCTTTGTTTTTAACATTTTGCACATTTCTGAAGACTTTTATAACCAATGGAGTAGCAAACTTTTCAAAACATTTAAGGGATATAGGCATATATAATTCAAGTGTATTAAGTTTTCCTGTGTTTTTCCTGAATCCTGCTGTTTGGTTTTGTAATTTCTGACATTTCCTGAAGTATTTTAACCTGGTTGTGATCTGATTGGATGAAAACAATCTGTCATTTTTTGGTGGTGTGGTTCAGTTACATATGCTTTGCAGTTTCTTGTGTGTTAACAATGTACTTTGCATAGTTTTGGTATTCTTTGAGTTCCGTAGATGAGGAGCAGGAACATTAGAACGTGTCAGATGTTAATTTAGCGTGTCTGAAATATAAACGCTCGAAACCACAAATTGTCTGATATATGCGCTCACATCAGTTTCACTGCATATTCTGACAAACGCCACAAAAATGCAGTTTTAGAAGCAAAGCTGCATAAAAGTGAGAATTTTAACCATTTCACCATATTATTACACTGAATGTTAGCAAAATATTCTGAGAAAACATGTTTTCCATTTGTTAAAGGCCAGGTTGATTTGATATAAACCCCCTGATTAGATCTCAGTGCAGGTTTATAAAAATAAAAAGAAAGCTTAACAGAAATGTGAAATGTTTGCCCAGAGCTGCTTTGTAAGCCGTTTTGATGTTTGTGTAAGACTGAACAGACGCCGCCTGAGAAATTTCAGGCTTACATGACTGAATCCTCAAGTGGCCAGAGTTGGGCTGTCAAGCAGAGCTTCCTGACTGTTAACACCAGGAGAAACGTACACAGCCGTGACCGCAGAGGCAGTAAATCTGAAGAAAGACAGGCCGTTTTCAGAGGCTCCACCATTTGTTCACAAAGAGCCGTGATGTTGACACAGTTGATGCATCAGGAGGTAAAATCCGCCCCCTCAGGTCTTTCAGGTCTTCCTGTTGGCACAGCGGCCCGTCAGCCTGTCCAGCTGGCAGAGCCAGAGGTATTTCTAGGAACTGACAAATACAAAAAACTCATTTGGCAACAGCAGGAACAAAAAACAACATGTTTTACTGTCCAATAAATTGAGACTTGGAAGACAAACTGATGGTTAGACTTTTAGTTTCAGTTATTTTTTGTCTTGATTGTTGATTTATATTTTGTTTTTTTATTTCTTGCCATCTTATTTTGTGTTTCTGGTTTATTTTGTTAAATTATTGTTTCTATTCTGTCTTTTTATTAATTTACTATTGAATTTCTCAGCTTGAAAACTCAAAATTTTGCTAGAAAGAAGCATCAAATTTTGAGATTAATAGAATTTTTTTAGAAAAAAATGAAATTTTCAAGTTTCAAAAGTCTAAAATGTTAAAAAATTTTGAAGTTGAAATTTTTAGCTTTCGAAACTGAAATTTTCAAGTTTTTTTTGTTAGAACATTTCTGAGATTGACCTCAGAAATGTCATTTTTTCTCCCCATAATGAGAAAAATTATGGGGAGAAATAACTTTCTCCCCATAAATGGGGGAGAAAATTGGCATAGTTAGTTGCCATCATAACTATGTGTTAAGATCTGAAAAAGTTTAAATGAAGGGGTGTTAATGTTTTATGGACTGCAGCTGATGTGTTTTCTGTCTGCACCAGATGGAGAAATTATCAGTCAGATTAAGATGACAAACCTCGCTTTGGCTGAGATTAAAGAGCTGCTGAAGCAACAGGTAAACCTCATTCACTGTCCTAAAAATGTTGCATTCATTTACTGTTGATGATTGAAGATGGGTTCATTAACACTGAATTCTATGGAGCTAAATCAGGGCCATAAAGTTTGTTCAAAGAAAAAAAAATTAAAACTGAAAAAAAAAAAAAGAAATTAAAGATTTGAAACCGAGAACAATTATATGAAATGTTCAAAACGACTTTTCAGATTCAAGGTTTTTTTTTTTTTTAGTTTTGAACAAAGTCCAAAGTCTTTTGAAAAAACTTTATGGCCCCATTTTAGTTCCATACATAAACTGTGTCTAAATTACACCAAAAGTGTTGTTTACATTAAAGGAGCAGCTGATGTTAATTTAATCAGTCGATTTGTTGTTTATTACAGGTCAGAGAAATAGTGTTTCTGAAGAACACAGTGATGGAGTGTGAAGCCTGTGGTGAGTTAGTCAAATTAAATAATAACGATGTTTATACTAAAATATTCAAGATTAAGAGTCAACATGTCTGCACGTAATTTGATAAATGGATGAAGGAATGGATGGATGAACAAAGTCAAAAAGATGAATGGATGAACAGATGTTTGGTTGGATGTTGATTGTAAGTTTTGTTGGTTGGATGTTTGGCTCCCCTCCACAGCAGTAATGTTCAGATGATGGTTGGTTGGATGTTTGATTGGTTCTACGTTTGGTTGGATGTGTGGTTGGTTGGTTGGTTGGTTGGATGTATGATTGGTTATACGTTTGGTTGGATGTGTGGTTGGTTGGTTGGTTGGATGTATGATTGGTTATACGTTTGGTTGGATGTATGGTTGGTTGGTTGTATGTTAGGGTGGTTGGTTGTATGTGTGGTTGGTTGGCTGGTTGATTGGTTTGTGTTTGGTTGGATGTTGATTGTAAGTTTCGTTGGTTGGATGTTTGGCTCCCCTCCACAGCAGTAATGTTCAGATGATGGTTGGTTGGATGTTTGATTGGTT